TGCTTTTAAAATAATATCATTTTGTAAGTTTATTATTTCTAACTCCACGTCTTCGATATTACTAATTTCGAAATACACTGAAACACTTTTCAGAAGATCATCTTCGGCAACTTTGAATGGGTTTATAAAAAATGCTAGAACGGGTTCTAGTGCTGCGAAATCTTGAACAAAACTCTTCTGCTAATTTGACTATAACTTCTAAATATGATATAGTAGTAAATTTTCTATATATTTTTTAGACTTACAACAATATGCAATATATACTTGAAAAATATGAAATTCATTTTGCTAAGGTTATCATACATTTACATTAACCGAGGGCGCTCTAAAGTTGATCGGGGGCTCCATGGCGCCCGCGGGCGCCGCGTTGCCGACCTCTGGTATAGATATTATATTAACGTGTAATTTTATTTCAGTTAGCCGAAATAAAGTATTAATTTATGTGATAAATACAGTGTGAATGATAAAGTGAAGCATCTAACACACACACACACAATATATATATATATATAGATATATATATATATATAATTATTAATATATCTTATACCAGGCACCATTGCTTGATATAAATAATATATGTCAATAAATAAGAAATAAAAACGCGTAAAAATAAAATGTACATCATTGTATTGAAAATGATCTCGATGTAAAAACTTTAGTCAAAACCTTATTCAATTTATTAGTAATTTAAACACTCAATAGCATATTCCAAACTAGAAATATATACTCTAAAAATGGTTATATAACTTTTAAATTCCAACTTATATTATCACTTGAAAAAAAAATTGAACGATTAAAAAATATTTGATGTATTTCAATATTTCGATAGTCAAGTCCTTTCATATTAGTACTTTCTTGAAATAGAGAACGAGTATGTAACAGAAAGAAAATTTCATTCACTAGAAGTAGAAATAAATATGAAATTAATTAGAATTTTAATGAATTTGGATATCTTGCTTCAGCTTGGTGCAATACAAAGTGTAATGAAAAATATATACGAAATTAACAAAATGGAAAGTAAAAGATTATAAAAACATGTCTTATAAAATTAATTTATCCATTAGTTAAACTAACGGAAAAGACACAGCTAGTTCAAAAACAAATGAAATATAAGCTTTGCTTTCCATTTTGAAACATTTTTATCTGATCATAGTTAAATCTGCCAGAAGACTGAAGAATACGTTGCATGAGTTACAGGAGAATATTAGTTCATTAAAAATATTAGAAGTAACAATTAGAAAATTAATTTATTCTGCATTTCTCAATATTTCTTTAGAATAGTAACAATGTATTATTATTACAGTATATAACAACTCAAAAAGAATTCATTCACCAGAAATAGAAAAAATAAAATAATTAGAATATTTTAAATCAGATATGCTGCTGCAGATTTTACAATAAAATTATAATGATAGACATGTATGAATGATCAAAGATTTAAATCTTTCTTATAAAATATGTGTGATAAAAATTGGCTCTTCTTCAAGACAATGACAATAACAGCTAGTTCAAAAACAAATGGGGTATAAGTTTAATCTTCATTTTGCTCTTTGCATAAATTTTTATCTGATCTAGTTCAGATATACAAACAAATTAAAGAATAAGTAACATGAGTACAAAAAACAATGCAATAAAATATTAAATTTGAAATTTGAAAAAATATTTTTTTCTGCATTTTCTCAGCGTTTCAAGTACAAATTATTATGTGCTTAAATTGTGGAACGAATTGGTTAGAGGAATTCAGTTATGCTACAACAGATTGTACAATACAAATTATAATGAATAACATATACGTAATTAACAAAATGGAACTATAAAGTTGAGAACATGTCAACAGACAACATGTCAATCAACAAACTAATGGAAAACACATAAGAAGTTCAAAAAAAAAGATCACAAAATTAATCCATTTTACTGGTTGAACACATTTTTATCTGATCAAAGTAAATCTATCAGAACACTAAAAAACGATTTGCATAAAAAATATTTAGTTCATCTTATAAAAAAATAACAATTAGTATCAATGTACAATATAATATGTAAAATAGTATGAAATAACTCATTTGTTATCATAACTCAGTATGTACAATATAGTATGTAATAACTCAAAGAGAATTATTAGTCAGAGGTAGTAGGTATTAAGAGGTTTTATTAATCAGAGGTAGAAAAATATCATGGAATGAATTACAATGTATGCATTCATATGCAATGTATAACATTCATAGAAAAACATGTGCAAAATGATCAAAATTGAAACTAAGTTTCATTATAAAATATGTTGATAAAATTAGTTCTTCAACAAGCTGGAAAGACATAGAGAGTGAGGTTAAGAATAAATAGGCCAAAATTTATCTTCCACATGTTTGCATACATTTTGCGAAATTAACAAGGTAGAAACATTTGATAAAAATTAGTTCTTCAATAGACGATTCAAAAAAGAATAGACTAATGGAAAAGATATAGATAGCTTACCGATCAGAAAAATTAATGATTTAAGTACTAGAATTACAAAAATATTAGATTTATCTTAAAAAATAATTCTGTTAATCCTTCTTTCAATAGTAGCAATATGTACATAACAAATAAAATTTATTTACCCGAAGTAGAAAAAAAAACCCGAGCAGATTTCATAATACAAATTATAAGGTTAATAAGGTTGATAAAGTATGTGTAACAAAAATGAGTTCTTCAATAAACTAATATGAAAAACATATTAGAAATATATGGTTATGATTTTTTTTTCTATTTTGCTGCTCTTTAGACTTATTTTTTATCTGATCATAGTTCAGATCTATCAGAAAGACTAAAGAAGAATAAGTTAAATAAATTACAAATTAACTTATTCTGTATTAATTCAATGTTAGTCAAAGATAAAAACAGTACTTTCTTAAATATAAATTGGATAGCAATGGATTATTTTTCAGATATGTTGCTGCAGTGTGTTATGAAAAACATACAAAATGAACAAATTAGATCGTAAAAGGATTAGTAAGATGTGTATGATAAAGATCAGCTCACCGACAAACGCTTCAGAGAACATATTGGAAATATCAAAGAACATTTAATTTCCATTTTCTCTGCGCAAACATTTTAGAGTGATCATAGTTAAAACAAATAGAAAAACAAAAGAATGAATTATAAGAACAAAAATGTTAAATGATAAATTTAATTTAAGTATAAACAATTTTGTACGATTAAATTTTGAACGCATAAAATTCATACGAGTACTTTCTTTAAAATAGTGACAGTATGTATCAACTAAAATTTTTAATGATTTCAGATATGTTGCTGCAGTTTGTACAATACAAGTTCAAAATGATAAATACGATTAAAGTTCACTGAAAATTTAGTTTTGATATATAACAAAATACAATAGGTAATAATAAATCTATTCATCTGGAATGATATGAACAGAAAGCAAGAAATAATCAAAATGATATAAATTTATTGGATGTTAATAAATTTATACTGAAAAGTTTTCATTTACAAACCAAACATTGCAAAATACTACCACAAATTGCAAATTAATTTATGAATTGAATGTTGATAAAAAAATGATAATGATAGGAAAGTATAAAAACGACGGCAAATATAAAATTCGTCACTGTGACAAAACAGTGTATTTAGTTTGGCACCTGTAATAAATCACTTTTGGATGCTTAAGAAATAAAAATCTTAATTGTAGTTAATGGTAAATCGAAATGGTGCGATAATTGTATATAATCGAAAAATCCATTAGTGAATCGAGTATAGATCAACTAAGATTGTAAAGTAGATCAACTAAGATGAATATTATATAACAACTTAATTGGTTTAATAAAAAAAGTCGAAATAAATTCCAACACAATCAAAAAATTATCACTAATTTACAAACAAATTATGACAAATTCGACTGCAAAGTGGCAGAGGTCGAATGACAGAGCAGACAATAAATTTAATGCGAATATTTATCTTGTTCTAAATAAAAGTGTAATAGCCTCCTCTAATTTCAAAAAATAAATTGTAGAAAACACGTATAAAAGTTTGTTGGAGTTAAAAACTGAGCAGCACGTTCTGCTAAAAATTGATTGCAATGCATGCAATTGAAAAAATATCAATTATTGAACCTATTGGCATTATACATATAAATCAAATGTTTGCTAAGGATATTTAAACTTTGCAAGAAACTGTTGAAAACCACAACGATAAATATAATTGACGAATGATTTTGATAGGTTTTCTAAAGAAAATATTCGTTCAATAAAAAATAATTTTTCAAGATATAATAATGTTACAACAAATTTACTTTGTAATTGTTTGCAATCTTACAAAAACTGATGATAAGCAAAGGTCATGAACGAGAAAAAGATGCATAAAAAATATTTCGCGTAAGATGAATATTATGCTCTAAAGTTAAATGACAAAAAAATCCAGAAGGTAATGCAGAACGATTCTGTAAAAAGTATGGTCTAAAATATACAAATTCAGACACGTCTTGAAGTGTTTTGCCAACCATCAAATTTCATAAACGTGACAAATAATAATTTTTATGAAATTTAAAACAAATAAAAAAACTAGTAGAGCATGGTATTGTGCCATAAGGCAAATTGCTGAAACTTCCGGTACAGTAATTAAATATTCACAAAATAAAAATATTAATAATAAATAAAAGTTTATCGATAAGTAATAACAATCATTGTAAATATTTTAAGAAAATCTATTATACTATAAGTCTGCATTTTCCAAACTGTGGCACGGGCCACCTCTGTGGGGCGCCTGGCTGTTACAGTGGAGAGCAGGTATGACACTGTTCAAAATACTATTTTCGACAAAAACAAAAAATTTTGAAATAACTTAAACAAATAAACGAAAAAATAATTATTAGTAATTATTAATTTATAGTCTGATGATATCAGTTGAGTTTTTTGAAATAAAATTGTTGAAAATATTTTGGGCGAGCAACAAATTTTTTATAGGAGCGCTACAAGCGCTTATATTTTTGCGAAGGCTTTATTGAATACGTTACTATCTTAATCTATAAGAACGACTATCTTAATCTATAGAAACAAACACACCATCGACACAAGCAATATGCATTTTGAATCACTCTAATCGGATGCAATCATTAAGTCTAACTCTTCGTCATAGTTTGTGATTATATAATTTACCTTCCGTGGGAATTTGTGTAGATGCCGAATCTTGTGTCATCTGGTCATGTGTGACCGATTTTACGTCTTGTACTAGTATGCAGTTGGATGGATCGATAGAGGGCTTCATGGAACTCACAGCTGTAGAAAAATGATTCAATAGATTAATAGGATTACAAAACATATTCAAATTACTAGGCCTTATAGTATTATTTACAAATAATCAATTCAAAAAATATATAGTTATTAAATAGATATAAAATATATCATTCTATATATATAAAAATACAATAAATATTAATTTGATCACATAATCATGTAGAGTAAAATATTTCCCTATTAATACAGGGTAGAGAAAGGCAACAAGATATAAAATAATTTTGAATAATTTTATTGTAAAAGCAAAACCCATGATATAACAACATATAGCACATCTCAAACAAACAACTATCAGACTATGGTCCGAAAACTACCACCTAATTTATCATTGTAGGAATTGTAGTTCAAAACATTGTTACCTGGACCATTTTAGCCCATAAGCAGGGTGATATAGTTCGGCCAGGAGACAAACAGGTAAAATGTTTTATTTTCAATTTTGAAAGGATTTTGCGAAATAATAGCTATATTATACAGCTAATGCAAAATATAAATTTTATGGTTACAGTTTCTACAGAGACAACACTAGATATAACCTTTATCTTGTATTTTGTTAGAAATGTTCATCAGCGGAGTTAGAATAACCATTTATTTAACTTATCTCTTTTTCAACTTAATTTGCTACTTTATTTACTATTTTTTATTGTTTGCACCTTTTTTAGAGAAAAGGTTCAGTTGGTCCTTTTTATCCCACCTGCGTGAAAGTTTTTATATAAAACAGACTTTTGAATCTAACTCAAAATTAGCAATACATTTTACAAAACAATTAGAAAACGTATACTTAAAAATTTCATTAAGATCTCGTAAACTAAATAACAGTGCTCACTAATAAAAAACTAACAACGAAATAAAATACTATGGATCTTCAAACATTGACGTTTATTTCTTGAAAGAAACGTCGTAAAAAACAAGGTGATGACTGGTTATACTAAATTTTTCCTCTACTTTCAAATACTAATGTTCAAAAATTCTTTACTTGTATTTTGAGATATCGGTGTTACCCACTTTTTAATCACGGACCTTTCTTTAAGTCCGGGTAGACCCTATATATTATATGGTATCGTATAATATATTACTTTATAGATCAAATCAAATTAAGTAATAAATGAAGTGATAAAAACACATCGCATAACACTGAAAGTAACACATTGCAACCATAAGTAAATTTAAAAATGTATTAAGCACCAATCGATAATAATAATAATCATAATATATATAAAGGTATAACAATACGAAATCCGTACATTTAAAAAAAAGACAAATAAAACAGCATCATGATCATGACTACTACGAAAAGAATAAATAAAAAAAAAATGAAATCAGGTAAGATTATAATACAATACCATATATCACATACAGGTAACGCCCGCATAACACGGTACTTCTATAACACGGATTCGCTCTAACACGGTTTAGGAATTGAGACTGTCCTCCTCATAACACGGTACTTTAAAAACAGTTCGCTATAAGAGCAAAACCCTAATAAAATAAGAATTATAGTAAATCCTATGAAAATCAAACTTTAATCTAAAATTAGTAAAATCGCCGTACAATATCTCAAATATGATGAAAATAGTGCAAAAGATAAGTAATTTGATATTTATTTTCCGAACAATATGATTCATATATCTTAAACACAGATCTTTTAAATAAAATAAGCATTAAATGTTAATAAAGATAACGTTTCATATGTAAAATATATAAATATCATTTTTCTAAAAGGAAGTAATCGCAAATATAATTTTTTTTGCAAAAAACGAATCTGGAGGTAGTACAGAAAAGTGCTCAGAGGATGAGGATATCTTGATGAGGAAAAAAAGAGAAAGAGAGCGAGATAGGGTAAATTCTGGCATCCATAATTCAGAAAAAAATGAGAAATAAGAAAAACACTATTATAAATAAATAATATTGATTTTGTTTGATGTAGATGATAATAATCTTGATGAAATAACTTAATCAAACGACCCATAAAAATGATAACTTTATTCTTAATTTATCAACACATTAAAAATGTGGAACAAAAATTGAATTTAATCCAAATCAATTAGACGTGTTATAACTTTTTGATAACAAGGCTGATGCAATAAATGAACAAACAAACGGAATTTTCCAGGGTCAAAATAAATGCCTTATTTAGATTATGAGTTATGTTTTTCAAAAATATTTTGAGAATTCCTGACAAATACAAATAATTGATTTTTTGAAAATTTTGATCTTTGAAAATATTGTTTGTAAATTTTGTAAAAAAAAAATCATTTTTATTATCAAGATAATAGGAATCTCATCAGGAGCGTAACTAGCGCGGTATCAGCCGTATCAAAAATACGGGTCCCCCGAGCCAGAGGGGCCCCCAACGTCGATAAGCAAACATTAATAATAAAAAAAATCACAAAAGCGAATTAATCATGAAAACTGTGTTCAATGAAATTTAAGGTCGTTGAAAAAGTACGCAAGGAATGTAAGATAATTATTTCAAAGAGTTTTATTTTGTCCGTAAAAATTAGTAAAATCCAACGAATTTTTGTTTTATTTCAGTAATAACACACGTTATGAAAACTTTCTTCCAGTGTATCGAATGTAAAAATATAATTTTAAAAGGTTGTGCCACTAATTGCTTTCCACATATCTTTAATATTTTTAAAGCTCTATAACATGCAAATAATGACTAATAGAAAACTAGCATTTCTTGAACAGATTGTGGGAATTAAAGAATCAAAATTAGTTTAGTAGTTGTTTAAATTAGCAAAGAAGTGTAAAGACTGTTTTTAAAAACAAAAGATAAAGTAAAACAAAAGATAAAGTAAATGTCTCGTAATCTTATTTCAAACTCAACATGTACTATAGCTAATCAAACATATTAGTTTCTCAAACTAAACAAAGATTTCAGAGACTTTGACTCGATTAGTATGTTCGAAATATTAGAACTGGAGCCATTTAGCAAAACACCTGTATCGACGAAACTTTCGTCTGAATATAGTAAAATCATATTTGTTACTTTTTATAACAAATTGTAAACTAAGCTCTTAAAATATGTTGAAAATATGAAATTCAGTATTTATTTATATTGCTGACAAAATTCAATAGTCTTGAATACAATTTTCCCGAGGAATTAACAGCATGCTCTTATTTGTGACCAATTGCCACCGCAAACGCTAAAGAAGATTTTCAAAAATAAAACTGCTAAAAAATTAGCGAATTATTGGTAATCTATGGAACTTTGCTAGTATTTCCCGATTAGTGTAAATAATATCAACCTAATCTATAAATATTCAGATTTATTCCAAATTCGCAGGCTCAAAACATTTTAGTAATTATGATGGTTATTATCATGGAAAGTTTTATCAAAATCATTTTTTTTTTCAACGACTAATTATGTAAATGCGGTCCGGTCGATATATCCGAACAATTTTGGATTTTGAAATGAGGACGATAATTTTAGTACTCTTCTCCCAATTTGAAGGAAACGGCTCGGCCTATCATTGAAAAATCAAATATTTTCTAGCAAAAACATTCTCTGGCAAACTTTTTTTTCGGGTAGTTAAATACCTCAATGATAAAGGAACAGCTGTCAGTCCATCATTGTTCATATAAGCAGAAACTTTAGAAAAAGTCTATAAATGATTTAATAAATGTGTATATTAAATTTGAATTGTTTGTAGAAATCTTGCGGAAGGAATAGATAAATATTTATGATAAATGAAAATTTCTTTTAGTTTTATAATTTTTTGTGAGAAAATTCTGCCCTACCTGAGGGGGGCCCCAAAAAAAATTTGATACGGGGCCCCGCCAATGCACGTTACGCCCCTGAATCTCATGTTAAGAAAGAGTTCAATAAAAATAATTACGTTTGAAAAAAGGAGATAAAACGTTTAAAATCGCTTATTTGATGTATATAATATGTGAGCTTTCAATACCTCATATTATTAACATCTTTATAAAATATATTATAATTGCGCATATGGTACAATGATCATTTTTGACCATAAAAAAATGCATTTTTTCTCTGTATTTCTGAAATCCCTATGTCTATACTCTGAAACCCATAATTGCTTCACACCGTCAACACAAGTAAAATGTTTATCGAATCAATCAAATTGAACTAATCTCCAACAACCATTTTTACCAAAACTAATCAGGACGTGTCAACAGGAATGTTTTAAAGTCATTATTTTATTGACATACTAATTTTATATAGTGTAATAAAACCGAGCTTTTTATAAAGATTTTCATAAAGAAATACATAAGTTTAGATCCAAAATCCATATTCATATAATGTAAAAAATATGCAACTGCATTTGTAATTCAAAAAAATCGTATTAACTCAACACTAATTATTAAAATTATACTAAAAATAAGGTATGCCAAAATTGTAACTAAATCATTAAAATACTGTGAATCAATCGCATAAAAGCTTGGGATATTCAGAAAACAATCTTTTTTATTTAAATTAGTAACATGCTAATACAGTAACGTAGTAATAATATCAACATCAATTTAGAGAGTGTTTAGTATTGAAAATGCCAGAAGTACGAAATAAAACATAACTTAGTGTAATCTCAATAAAATGATAGAAAATCAAAGAGTTAGAATCAGTAATATATTATAATTATAAGACAAGTTTTGTTTAACATACAAAAAAGTTAAGTCTAAGTGACATATATTAATTGGTAATTATAAAATTTAAATGTTTAGAATTGCACAAAAACTCTTGGATTGTTATGAGGTGATCTTTTATTTCTGGGAAATATATTTTTATGGCATGTTCTTTTTTTGACACAACTAAGAAACTTCATTTACAATAATAAAAATTGAACAATATAAGTTAAAAATTAATTGTCCGCAGTATTTAAACTGGCATGTGAAACATACATATAATAAGTAGTTCAGTTCACAAATGACAAATGTGTATAATCGTTTACAAATGAGTACTTGATGGCTAAAATACTGTTGCAATAAATACTTCGAATCAATTTAAAGTAATTTTTAATTTTTTTATTTAAATTTGATTGAATTTAATCGCAATTGCCTGCATTACAATGAGTGAGTGATAAAAAATGAATATAAAAAAGTAAAATCCAAATAAAAAAATAATTATTAAACTAGCTGTAAGTGGAATTCTGTCTTAAGGCAATTAAGGCATCGTGCCTTAAGGCAAATTGCTGGTACTTCCCGTACCAAAAATTATTATTTTTTTAAAAACGATTAACATTTTTGAAAAAAATTGAAAAAATAAGATTTTTGAGAGACTATAAATTGGACAAAAAATTACTTTTTTTGAAAAAAAAAAAATAATAATTTTTTTCAAAGATGTGGAAGATCTGAATTTTCTTTTCAAAGCAATCGTACTGCTTTAACTGCATAGAAACAAAATATAAAGCGTGTAAGCCCCGCGTCGCTGTCTAACGCATAAGCATTGGTATGGAACCCATAGGAATGTTAACAAAATGTATACTTATTATTAAAATCTCTATAAAATATCTGATAATTTGATGTGCATATGTCTAATGATCATTTTTGACCGCCAAATGGCTCATTTTTTTTACTTTTTTCTCCATATCTCCGAAACCGCTAGACCTACCTTCATGAAAATTTTATCAATTCTTCATCTTGTCAATACAAGTGAAATGTTTTTTGAATTATTCAAATCGGACGCTCCGTTCTCTTAAAAACTGAGTTACCGTTTTCGGCACTTTTTGCCCCGTATTTTCGGAACGGCTAGACCTGCCTTCGCCAAAAACTAATCAGCACGTCTCCTTATCGATACGAATCGAATGTTTTTTGAATTATTCAAATTGCTTCATCCGTGATCCCGAAATCGTCGACGAAAATTTGTATCCGAACACACATACACACACACACATACATCATTTTTTTCTAAGGTATGCCAAAATATTCAGAAATCTCTGAAACGTAAATATATATAAAAATTTTCGTTTTCATTTTTTGCGATTACTATAACTTACCCTAAGGGAAGTTAAAAGGTTCAAAGCAGCAATATGCTGTTACAGCAAATACGACAAATGATTTAAAAAAAATTCTTTTTCAATTATGTGTCGTTAAGTTTATTTAATTACCTGCAAAATAAGCCAGCATTGCAGTAAGTGCCACACTGAGTAATATCAAAACAATGCTGAAACATTTCCATGAGCAGCGGTGCCGACATCGTTTGTCGATGTGAAACCTGGACGGCGAGTATGGGGAGTAGTGCGCACCATGGGCGCCTGTGTGCGCTGCCCTTAGCGGGAACACCGGCACCAGCGAAGGACAGTGCTGGCTGGACGACAGCGTACTGCTATTCTGGCCGGGAATGCCTTGTCCGACACCACCCGACAATTGGGAATTCAATCTGTAGAAAAAAATAAATATTTTTAGCACGATTTCATTAAAAATTGAAATTGTAACCTAGTATCACTGGGTACGGTTGTGCCACTCTTTTCTGAATCAGCTAGCTACGAGAAATGTAAATTAAATTGTAATTTGTCTACGTGGATATAGAAAAATTCTGTTTTCAAATACGAAAGATTAATCATGATATCAAATCATACGAGTAAAGTGCGAGTGTCACAACCGTATCTGGGGGCTATAGAAATTAGGGTTTGTCTGTTTTCAAAAACCGGTATTAAAAACCGGTTTTTTGGCGAAAATTATGGAATTCGAAAACCGGTTTCTTAGTGAAATGATAAATATAGCCAAATATAAAAGATAGATAAAGCGTTTTGATTCTTGAAATCATATCGGTCCAATAGCATTTAATGTCTTATCAGTCTGCAATGATTCCCAGAAAGGTTTTGTATATATTAATTTAGATTTTTATACCAGTATATATATTAATTTAAATCAGAGTGACCACTTCTTGGAGAAGTAATTTCCTTTACTTAAACTTAAAAAAAAAGAGTTTTAAACCCTTAAAACCACAAATTGAACAACAAAAAACTTAAGCCCGGTGCACACGACGCCAGTATTCCTTGTAATATGATTTCTATCGTAACAGGATTTCTAGCGAGCAAGAATTTTGCGCCAGATTTTCACTTATTTTATGATTAATATTAATTTCGTATATTTTCAAATAGATTATTATAAATATATACTGTGAATTTCACAATTTATATTTTATAGGTCTAAAATACACTAATGCTTATAAGTGTACAAACAGAGAATTGTATGAATTGTAAACAAAAACATGTACGTATCGCATCTGATTAGAATTAAGTGAAATAATAATAATTAAAAGATAATAAAATGCTTCAGTTTAAGGGGCAAACTAGTGTGAAATTTTCAAACTGTAGTCGAATTTTCATATTTTTTTATATTTCGATAGGTTATACCTTTAAAAATAACATACCAAAATTTCAAATCGATATCTTAAATAGTTTTTGAGTCACAGCCATTTAAAGAGTATATATATAGTATATAGTATAACGATCATTTTATCTTTAAACGCGTTTTTCTCGAAACAGCATTTTTCGAATTTGCTGCAGCGATTACTCAAAAACAAATGATCCGATCACTATCAATTTTTTTGTACATGCTTTATATATAGTTCTCGTAAAATAAACTATCGATTTTTTGATAGGATCAAAAATCGAATTTTGGCAGTCCAAAAACTTTTTTATAAAAAACGCCGCCATTTAATCATTTTTTGATTTCTGTTTTATCATAGTTCATTTTACAGACAACATTATCTAGTTTAACGATTTTTTTTTGGATTTGATCCACGTAGAAGGCCGGAATCACTGCAGCAGTGAAAGGCCTTTTTTGTGCCGTTGGAGATCGACGATAACTTAAAAGATATTTAGTTTTTTTCTTCAAAAATTTTGAGATGTGCTGATTAGTTTTTGGCAAAGGCAGGTCCAGCAATTACGGAGATAAAGAGCAATGAGTGCAGAAAATTTAAATCGAGTTTTTGAAGAACGGAGCATCCGATTTGAATGATCTAAAAACATTCAACTAGTAATGATTGGGAGAAGTGGTAATTAGTTTTTGGCAAAGGCAGGCCCAGCCCATTTCGAAGATACAGTGCTAAATGTGCAAAAAATGGCAGTTTTTGAGAGAACTAAGCGTCCGATTCAAATGATTCAAAGAACTTTCTGCTTGTTTTAGCGAAACAATTAATTTTGGAAAAAAAATTCTTGTTTCAAATTTTTTTTTTTTGAAAAAAAAATTTTTTTTTGTATATTGAAAATAATTCAGATTTTTATTTTAATTCTGTTCTAATATACTTTAAACAAATAATTTCAACTTTCCAATTCAGTTTATATAATTCTTATAAATATTAGACAATGTTACAATATTTATAATAATCTATTTTAAAACATTTAATATTCCTCGATCATTTCGTTACGGTACGGGAAGTTCCAGCAATTTGCTTTAAGGCATGATGCCATACACCCAACTAATTTTTTTTTAATTTTGAGTATTTTTGCAAATTTCGAAATTTGTGAAATAAAACGATTTGAATTTTTTTGTAATTTTTTGGAAATTTTGAATTTTTTTGATATTTCAGATAAAATTACGAAAATTTGAAAAAAAATGCATATTTAAATTTTTTCGGAAATTTGAATATTTTAAAATTACTGAACTGCCTTTCCTAAACTAATCATTTATTCACGCCGCTATATATACACAATAGCTATTTACAAAATAAAAACTAAGCGCTTCCAAAATCGAAGTAAATGAATCAAGTACGCATTGATATTTTCGTGTCAAAATACAGCTTTCCTATTGGACACTGAAGGTATCGGCCACGAGATCGTTCATCTATCGCCGACATAGGACATGCTCCATTCGTAAAATACGGCAGGAATTTGCAAGGACTGAAGTTGTTATGAAATCAAATTCCGACGTTGTTAAGGCAACGGTTTTACTTAGAAATTATGATGAGTGTACCGCCCTTGTGAATGCGTGAAATCTAGCAGGCCAGATCGCAAATTATGTCGCGCAAGATCGTAAATTATGGTTTATCATGTCGTTCCTAGGGTAACAAACAAACAAAAACTGTCCAGCATGAAAACTGGCGTCGTGTGCACCGGGCTTTAGAGTTATAATATCAGGCTTTAAAAACATTTAAGCATATAATTTGGTCGCAAGTATGAGAGTATTTAAAACGTATGTATCACAGTATGTATCAACATGTATCTAATATATATTTATTTTTTTAATTTAATGAATGTTTTTTATTTAAAAATGTATTATTTTTATTTATTCAAAAACTTTTCTTTTATTCTTATATGTGAAAATGATGCATGAATAACGAATAATTATTTTCAAAGTTATATTTATTCAAGATAAACTATTATTTTTTAGTTCTACTAATTAAAATAAAAAAAAAATTATTACTATCTATGAAATTGAACAATAAATAAATTCAGTCAAATACGGTTCTAAATTACATTAAATATTCAGATAAATTACACAATATTCGAGCAAAAATTTATTTTCTATATAAAATTCGAAAACCGGTTAAAACCGGTTTTTTAGTAAAATTAAAATTCGAAAACCGGTTTTCGAAAATGTCGGTTTTTGTATAAACCCTAATAGAAATAGGTTGAAAAACAATGTGAATAAACATTTTTATATTTATAACATTTTCATTGTCAAGAATATTTAACACATAATATAATACTATATAACAAAACATAATTTTTCAAACAAAGTTAACAAAAAAATCTATTTGAAATCCTTTTTTACATTGAATTTTCCTTTCGTACTGAAATAAATTCCTCTCGTCGGTATCACTGAAATAAATTACTTCCGCAAAAAGCTACTTGCTGGTAACAAACCACTAACGTACAGAAAAATAAAAAACAAAGTATCTAATCTATCTGTATAAAAAGCAGTTATTAATAAAATAAATCAAACAAAAAAACGTTTTTACTCTTTAAAAGCAATGCAGTCAACAGCTCATGTTAATATAGGGCACTGATAATTCAGTAATGGAAACTTATTCGAACAAATATACTTCATATTTATCCCTTCGGGCTCTATCTCAAATACAGTAATGTTCAGCTGTTCTGACGACTGTCACCGTACCCTGGCACAATCGTACCCAGTCTCCAATAATGCTATCAAAGCATAAAAATTATTATGAATATCAAGCCAAATACATAAATTCATAAACCGCAAAAATTTTATCAAATCAAAAAAATTGCAAAATCATCGGATTTATAAAAATAAATCAAATTTTTTATATCTACTTGATATCCAATAACATCACACATGATTATAAATCAAATTTTTTATTTAAATCACTATCCAAAAAATATCACACATGAGTACAAGTGTAAGAAAACGGAGAGATTGCTAAAGTAGTATTGTAAAAGCTGTTTTAGTAAGTTTTTAAGTGGACATTTAATGTTTAAGACAAAACCACAAAATTGCCTCGTTTAATCAGTCAAAAAATTCACCGTCATAATAAATATCAAGTGTTGAAAAATATACAATAATCTTGAGTAAAATTGACAAACATTCAAAATCAGTATTATAAACCTTATATTTATTAAAAAGTTTTACCACGTTCATCTTTTATAAATAAAAGTATTGAATAATATGGAGTGAACATGTAATATCATGCCATCTATATATTCAATGCGATCCAGAATTATGTGATATTTATAAATTACATGCATTACATAATTAGTATTTTAATTGTGCATAATTATTTAATTCCATTCATAATGATTTCATTTCACAACAATTTTTTAATCAGAGAATAAAATCGATGGAAATGTAATTAACAAAATATAATATATACGCATTTTTACGAAATTCATAATAATCTAGTTTCATTACTTATCTAGAAACATCTAGTTACATATTATCAAAAAGATAAAGAAAAATTGCATACGAAAAATACAAAATACGATCGAATAGGTTTCAGCATTTTAGAAAAACATACACTCACAGAATACGATAATGGATTTATGAAAAATAATTGAGAAAAAATGTGAAAACACAACATTAAAAAAAATTATAAGATCATTTTTGTAGTCAAAATTTATTATACCAGCAAAAAATGTGGGATAAAAACAATTGCTAAAAAGGCGAAAGAATTTACGTATTATAGTATATAAGTTTTGTACTATAAATAAAATTAATGAAATAAATTTTGCTGCAGTTAGTAAAAAATATTCTATCAATATATACATTGAGTCCTCAAAGTAACGTTACATTTTTTTATGTGCCAATTAAGAAAAAATGTGAATACACAACATAAAAAAAATATAATATCATTTTTGTAGTCAAAATTTATTATACCAGCAAAAAATTTGGGATAAAAACAATTGCTAAAAAGGCGAAAGAGCTTTTACGTATCATGTACAAAATTATAGCATATAAGTTTTGTACTATAAACAAAATTAATGAAATAAATTTGTTGCAGTTTAATCACAAAATTATGAGTTAGTAAAAAATATTCTATCAATATATACATTGAGCCTTCAAAGTAACGTTACATTTACTTATGTACCAATTTATTTAATTAACTTATAATTTAATTCACCAATATTTCTAAACTTAAAATAAGTAAAAATACGAGACAATACAAAAAATAATTTAATAGAAACACGTATCATGTTGAAGCATGTCCAAAAAATACAACAGCTTGCTTTTCTGCTGTCAAAATATGCTCGTAATGATATATTACATCGGTTTTTTACCCAAAAAACATATAAAGCGTAGCAAAAAGTAAGTAAGTAAAATTTTCGATACCTCATTATCATCGATCAAAGTTATAGAAAAAAACAGGCACTAAAACCAAACTGGCACATCGGCATAAAAATAATATATTGAAATAAGTCTAAAAATAAGAAAGCTTTCATTGATGGTTTCTATAGAATCAAGTAAACAGTAAAGTAAAAAGAAACTAGTGACGAAGAAAAAAACCTTAAGGCAAATTGCTGGAACTTTCCGTACAGTAATTAAATATTCGTGAAATAAAAATAACCAATCATCAATGAAAACACATGAATGAGTAATAACAATTGTTTTAAAATAATTCGTATTAATACTGTTAATTTCCTCTACTTATTTTATCGATCTAATATAAAAATCATTCAAATCGGTTGATTCGTGCTCCTGATATCGTGGACGAAAGATTGTATTCGAACATACACACATACCAATATATCAACTTTTTCAAAGGTGAGCTAAAATGTACATAAACTTCTGAAACGTAAAAATATGCAAAAGTTTCATGTTCGATTTTTTGCGATATCAATTATTTGCCACACGGCAAGTTAACAAGTCGGAATAATGTTTTCCAATATTTGTAGAAGGCCAAGAAATATACTATCTTATTAAATTAAAATCGAAACTTTTTTTAATTTAACCATATTATACATAGCAAAATTATATTTAAAATAGCAGAAAATTGTGAGAAACCAAACAAATAATTATTGTATTCTGATTTCACAATAATTTATCCCTAGAATTTATTAGCTTCATTACAGTTGGTATAGATGTCGTAAAAAAACAATGATAAAATTCAAATTCTTTATATATAATATTTTAATAATAACAACAATGAAATTGGCAAAGAATGCAAATAAATGCAAAAATTAACAGAAATATTGAATATATTTTATCTTAAATAAATACGAAACTAAAACGACTATCATAAAAATATGTGCAAGTCGTAATATTCGAGTTATCGTGCAAAAGAAAACTGTTAAAATTATAAGATTATATCAGACGCATATAATATTTATAATATTGATATATTATACATGCCTCTGTGTAACATTCAAATTTATAAAATCAATAATAAAAAAAATTTAAAATAACAGATCGCCGGTATATTCCACAGAATTCTAGTAACTTTTTAGATAAAAAAGTTTTGATGTTTCTTAAAATCCTTACAGTTCGGCTAAAGTTATAAACTAAGGAAAATTTTAGTATTTTCAAAATCAATATATAATACTATTTTATAAATAGAATAACACTATGTACATGTTTATTCTTGTACACTAAAGATTGTTCTAAAAGAAACTTGAAACATTTATAAAATTAATTTAAAAAATTGTAAAAATAACGTAGCTATCCTTTTTTAATAACTTGATGGATACCTTTATAAAAAAACTTTTTTAAATAAAAGTCGCAAAGAACCCACAAAAATTAGTCCAAATCAAACTTATCGATGTTACTGGTGCACAATATAATTGTTTACCAATGATTTAAAATCAAAATTTAAATGTTAGAGAATAATTGTACATATTATAAAATATTTTTAAGAGAAAATACAGGACCAAAATTATTGACAGTGCCAAAAGTTTATTGGATGTTATATAATAAAATTTTAGAAAATCAGAAGCTCACGTGGAAGTTAAAAAGAAGAATACAAGGTTATCAAATAAATAAGTGCTAAGTATTTATGAATATTAAATATCATCTCAAAAAATATTAGAAAGATATTACAAGTATTTGAGTTTTACTTTACTTTGTTTGAAAATAATTTTTATTATTTTTATTTATCTTATAAAATATTGCCCTCATAATACTCATGGTGTGTCAGTGGGCAAATTACTATCTACTATTAATGATTGTATTAATCTATTTTCTATTTAAGAAATGGTAATCTAAGTAATAACCCAACGATATTTGTAACAGTTATAACTGTTATTGAGATTTAAAAAAAATCTTGAAATCAAATTTTATTTTCAGTGCATAAAATAATAGTAAAATGTCATACCAAAAATTATCAGAAAGAAATCAGAAACATAATTCAGATAGAATATTTACAGCTGTGGTTATAAAATATATGTGTTTCATTTTACT